TAGACTCCTGTTCCTGTCGTAATATTAATATTTCCTGGCTATTTCCGTTTCACAAATATGTGCGTAAACGTCAATGTGTTGCTATAGTATGTTTCTGTCATGGTGGGTTATTACCGCAGTCGTCGACAACCCGTACCGCTGTACGAGTGCAATATATAGACGGTCGATGGTATATGAACGGGAATATTAGCTGGTCCATATATCTCGCAATGCACAAAGTTCGAACATGTGCTGTAGTAGTGTCCATCAAAGTCTTTATTCAAAAAAGAAAAGAAAAAAAATCAAAAAAAAAAAATCACAAAGAATGGCATCGACACGTATTGCCCGCGGCGCTCTGTCATTTTTATCAAATGGGTACAACTTAATACGCTTGACGCTTGTATTTGGAGACATTATTAACAATTTTAGTGTGACTGTAGGCGGTATTTGCCACACTCTCCAAGAACTGTTGCATTCGATGTAGGTGACTTTGCTCCTACAAGATTTTTCAATATTTTAGGGTGATATTTTTTTACTACCTGTTATCCTAAAATCTTTGCCCCATAACTGAAAACGGTAATATCGTAACATCTAATTTTAATCATTGTATGGAAGAGTTCAAGTACAATGCATCGTGCAAAAAAGTGTCCCCCACCCCCATTGCTTGTCCTGTTAGAGATTAACTGCCATCAAGATTGGCCAGGAGTTTCTACTGGAAATCAATAAACTCACTCGGCTTGCCCCTACAAACACAGTTTCCCGGTGTTTTTTAAAGAGTGCTCCCATGCCTAAATACCATGATTTCAGTTTTGCTTTAATATAATGACATTCAATATGTTTCGAAAATTGATCATAACAGCCTCTGCAACGCAACGGGCGAATCACACAACATGTGTATACAAAAGTGAAAATAATTTAGAAGTTCGTGGAAGATTGGAAAACGTGTAAATGAATGAATGAATGAATGAATGAATGAATGAATGAATGAATGAATGAATGAATGAATGAATGAATGAATGAATGAATAAATAAATAAATAAATAAATAAATAAATAAATAAATAAATAAATAAATAAATAAATAAATAAATAAATTGAACAAACTGGTCAAAGTTGAGACACGAGACTACTACAGTATACTGTACTCTGCTACTGAAATGGTTTTATGTGTAATAGAGTGACATGAAATATGTTTCCGTTAAACACTAGTAGTACCTCCTATAAGAATTTAGTGGTTCAACTTATGCCTAGCTGCGTTGGTGGCCACTTCACTTCCTCCCGGGCCAGTTAAAATATATTTTAAAAGAATCAAACAAATTATCGGTGACATGTTGATAGTAAATCCCTAGTGGATACATCAATTACTGTACTAGACCCTGCATCATTATAAGAGTCGACATACCGTAGTTATTATAATACTGACACGCAATGCGCACCCATTAGACGTCAAGGACATATACCTTTTTTAATATTTCTGTGTAGGAGAATTTCGTAATGGTAACAATGCCGGAAGTCAATAACCGCACGTAGTACAAGTATAATGTATTTGGGTACCCGGAGTTATTTGATGAGTTTACCAGCATTAGCGTACACAAGATAACACACAACTATACTATTTACGTCGGGGCTCATGGGACTAAGCCCCTGATAGCATGGTTTTAAACGCATAAATAATCTTAAAGAAAACAATCTCTGAATACTAGTAAGCTAAAGTGCACTGATCAGCGACGGAATCTGACTTATGTACAACCACTTTGAATTTATCACGCTTATTTGTATTCGGCTATTTCAAGTATTATCCGTATTTTTTTTGGCGGTACAACGATATTTACTTTTCGTCACAGCACAGTTTCACTTATAAAGCGCTGCAGTCACGTTCGTCACGGGTCGCGGTGCGTGTAAACTCTATGTACGCGTTGTATATACATCTCATAGAATCCATATTGATTACGACTCGGAACGGATGCGGCGACTGCGGCGCGGTTATATAAACTTCATGGTGAATTCTTTAGATTAATGAAATTTAGATTTAAAGTTAAAAACAACACAGGCAATAGAAATCATTCTGTGATCATGGATATTTAACATCCCCTAGATTTAAACAGAAACGTCAAGTTGCAATGAAGTTGATTAGTGTCAGTTTAAAGAAAAACAATATTTGTTGCTCTTTTTACCCAATCCGTGCAACACGGCGGTGATACTCCCATGATGCATCTCACCTATTACCACGATATGAACAACATCCTGTTATGAAAGACAACACGATCTTGGCATAGTAGTACATTTTTGAATTTTTCTATTAAGTTGCATCAAATTAATCTCGAATTCTAAAACAAATGTGCGTTCACCGTGCCCATTCAATGCTGAAACATTACGCAAAATGCGCACTCTTGTGAAACTGTGTGTAAGTAAATCTAGATGAGCGATTATTGTACTCGGTGTCAACGTACACGGGACGTAGTAACCATGGTTTCATAACTACTCATAATTTTTCAATATGTCGTTCTATTATATTTTCAAGGTGGAATCATCTACAAAGTACGCATGCGCTAACTCCAACACAGGGTTGACTTCATTTTTTAGTCCGAGACGTGTACCACTGTCGTTAATGGTTATCCGAATTACACAATCCTTGCACATGGATTTAAAATACGTATTAAATAATCAACTTCGACTTCATATTAATATTCTTGAGCATGATTTTTCAGAAAGTATACGCCCCATTTTTGCATTAGTACACTCAAGCGCATGCGTCCCCATTTTACATATCCGGACAGGGTACAAGTTCGAGTTTTCAGTGTTTTCATACACTAATGTTTTTATCATAAAATACTCAGAGTTTTAACTGCAACTTGTATATGTTCATGCTGGTACACATTTGAAGTTCTCGAGAACTCCGACCCGTTCACTGGTTGTTAGCGGAGGTTGGGATATGAGCAGAAAACGTTCAAGGTTTTGGTAGGTTTCCCTCACAAAACAAAAACAAGCAAGAAAACTAGAGACTGGCGATAACAATCTGAGAAACATTTTAAGTTTTACCATGATACGTGCAGATACCGGTACATATGTACAACCAAACTTAAATGATAAAAAAGAATAAAAAAACATCTCTAGAATCGTAATTTACTCTTCCTATTTATCGTCGTGACATGGAGTTGATCAATATTTACTAGTCTAAAAAAGCGGAGTGTATGCGTATATAGACTGGATTGATTAATTGATTGATTAAATAATTAATTGATTGATGAATTAATTAACTGGCGGCGATACATGTGACCAATATGTATTTTTAATTATGCTATAAGCAAACACTCTACGCCCATGTACTAGACGGAACAACCAGTACGCGGCAGTACAAATGCTCACAGCGAGATACAGGTGTGAATTCTATAGTTTAATTCTACGTCATTGCCCACGTCATCGGCTTAATCAGCAGTTTTTCACGGCGCTTGGTAAATAAATCAGCAAAAAAGTAAAATTGATTTTTTGTTACAAAATATAGTAATGTGTACATTTTGAAAGTGTCTTTTGTCGGCTAATATTTATTTAATAAATTCCGATGTGAATTAATGAACATGTTTTTGGTGTGCAACTTATTTCCAATCCGCTGGCGGGGCGGCTTCCTGAACCTATTAAAGTTGAATTGGATTGGTTGAATTTGTTCTTTTAATCTAGGAAACTACGTGCGTCGATCGGACAACTCTCGTGACTCGACGGGCAATTACCCCTTTTTATCGATGTACACGTAGAACTCAAAAGTTATCGCACAGATTCTGTAGGCTAATTAACGATTCGTGTACAATTTCCCCATATCTCGTTCCCGATGTACAGAACCGCGACTGCACATATATGATAAACTGTAGATTTATCAAAAACGTGTATTACATGGCAATACGCAATGTACAGATACGGATGTCTCTATTTGAAATGTGTTCGCGTTTAAAAAAAAAGTTAAACGAAACTGAATCCCGCAATGTCTTTGATAAATTGTAAAATGGAATAATGTATACACGATGTATAAGTTGTATACACGAAGACAATCTATATTACTAGATTTGTATTATCTTAAAATAAATAATATCTGGTTTTGCAGAAGTTTGAGGTACCTCTACTTCTTCTTAAAATTCGGTCTCCAATTATGAAAACAAACTTGCTGCATTGCGGGCTACGCGATTGTTCAAACATTCATAATACTGCATGCAATTGTAATGTTTTATTCGGACTGTTTTAAAAAGTCAAATAACATCAATACGCATAAACTACACTATATGCAGAGAAACAAACATAAAAACACCTTGATATCTCTCTGAAAAACTTAAAATACTCCTTAGTACATTCTTGTCAATTTTGTCATAATTTTTAATCCAATTTAATATTTCACCAAAATGACGTTCGTAGTACCAAATGAACACACACAGGGGATAGGTTGGGATGTTCATGTTTTATCCCTGGGTAGTTGGAAAGTGATTTTTCGGTTGACAAAAAGTTACAAGCCGCTATTTCATCCTCGTACCATAAAATGGCCTGTTATATGACGTAACACTAACGACTGGTCACGTGACAATGGTTCTTCCCGACATGCAATCATCTAAAATGGTACGTTTTTTGTCTGTTTTCACTTTAAATAGATAAGAAAATATTGTCCCACAATCGAGTAACAACAAGAGCACAGACTAGCATGGATTGGTAATATCAACCAAAGCCACACAAAACTTTTTTTTTTTAAACAGCGACACATTTTACCATGTGTTATATATAATATAGTATAAAACAATAAGAATATTTTACGCAGTATCAGTTGTTTTTTTACGCGTGTTATTTTAACAGAGTTGCCTAAATATCGATAATATGTTCAGAATCGGTCGATAAACGGGGTTTATAAAGTCTATGACCACCTGCAGAAATTCAGAACCCCAGTTCACCTGGTCGTTCGCTCTGTCGTTATTTTAAAGTTCGAGCAGGAAGAATTCAATCAGACGAAACGTCAACTAATTCGCAGGTTACGGCGTTATGACAGCGAAAATGTCGGCCGTGTTACGGCTGGCGATTGTAGTTCTCTTCAGTTTCAACGCCATAGTGTATGCCCAGAGTGGCGGGTAAGTGACATAACTCAGAACACAAGTATGCCCAGAGTGGCGGGTAAGTGACATAACTCAGAACACAAGTATGCCCAGAGTGGCGGGTAAGTGACATAACTCAGAACACAAGTATGCCCAGAGTGGCGGGTAAGTGACATAACTCAGAACACAAGTATGCCCAGAGTGGCGGGTAAGTGACATAACTCAGAACACAAGTATGCCCAGAGTGGCGGGTAAGTGACATAACTCAGAACACAAGTATGCCCAGAGTGGCGGGTAAGTGACATAACTCAGAACACAAGTATGCCCAGAGTGGCGGGTAAGTGACATAACTCAGAACACAAGTATGCCCAGAGTGGCGGGTAAGTGACATAACTCAGAACACAAGTATGCCCAGAGTGGCGGGTAAGTGACATAACTCAGAACACAAGTATGCCCAGAGTGGCGGGTAAGTGACATAACTCAGAACACAAGTATGTCCAGAGTGGCGGGTAAGTGACATAACTCAGAACACAAGTATGTCCAGAGTGGCGGGTAAGTGACATAACTCAGAACACAAGTATGCCCAGAGTGGCGGGTAAGTGACATAACTCAGAACACAAGTATGCCCAGAGTGGCGGGTAAGTGACATAACTCAGAACACAAGTATGCCCAGAGTGGCGGGTAAGTGACATAACTCAGAACACAAGTATGCCCAGAGTGGCGGGTAAGTG